AGTCTTAAAGCCTTCATAGTGTAGAAGAAGAAGAGATTGGATTTATATCCCGCCCTTTACTCGGAGTCTCAGAGCGGCTTGCAAACTCCTTTCCCTTCCCCTCCCCACAACAGACACCCTGTGAGGTAGGTGGGGCCGAGAGAGCTCTGAGAGAACTATCCATGAGAGAATGACTCTGACAGAACTATGGCTTGCCCAAGGTCATCCAGCAGCTGCAAGCGGAGGAGTGGGGAATCAAACCCGGTTCTCCCAGATTAGAGTCCGCGCACTTAACCACTACACCAAACTGGTTTAAGAGTGGCAGACTCTGATCTGGAGAACCGGTTCAATCTCCGGCATCTCCAGTAAAAAGGACCAGGCAATAGGTGATGTGAAAGATCTCTGCCTGAGACCCTGGAGAGCCGCTGCCAGTCTGAGTAGACGATACCAACTTTGATCAACTGATGGTCTGATTCAGTATAAGGCAGCTTCATGTGTGTTCATGTGGGAAGGGAAGACTATTGTAAGATGCTTTAAGACTCCTTAAGGTAGAGAAAAGTGGGGTATAAAAACCATTCTTATTCTTCTTCCTGAAAGTAAGAACCAGCAATTTGAATCGTGCCTGGAAACAGATGGGCAGCTAGTGCAGATCTTTCACCATAGGCGTTATATGATCCCTGTATCTAGTTCCTGACAATAGCCACATTTCAAACCAACTGAAATTTCTGGACGGTCTTCAAAGGCAGCATAATGTTAAGTGCATTATAGCCATCTATCCTGGATGTTATCAGAACGTGGATCACTGTGGCCAGATCTTGTTTTTTGAGGGGTAGCTGTAACTGGTAAAAGATTGCCACAGAGAAGATCTGAGAGTCCAGCTGTATGCCAGGAGCACCAGATTACAGAACTCCACGAAGGTCAGGGGGTGCCCCGCCCCACTCTGCAACAGCCTGGCTTCCCTTGAAGGACCTTTTTGCAGCGATCAAGTGTTACGTTAGTTAAGAACCAGGGATTCAGTGCTTACCTTGTCTCTGTTCGAACCACCAAAAGCTGAGCATGTTCTTTTACATCAGCTTTGGATTTGGAGTCCCTGTGCACAGATGTTTAACAAGCCGAGATTGGCCTGGCTCAGCTTCTGGTCTAGGTTCAAGGAATAGTAGGTGAGATATGGTAGGCTCTCCAGATTGAAGGAAAGCAGCATAGCATATTTGGAAAGGAGAGATTTAGAGAATGCATTTTGAATCTCTAGGCATATGAATTTATAACCCGTTTTGTCAGAGCAATGGTCTAGAAGGAGTTAACGTGCTTCTTGGGATCAAGAGTACAGCTCAGCATCTCATTGTCTTTATTGCTCATTCAGTCACTTGCAAGGGTTAACAGTGTATAGCTTCTTGTTCCTCACAATCTTTGAAAGGTAATGAGCAGAGCATAAATCCGGGATTTCTCACAGATCCAAATTGCTGAACTGTCATGTTTATTATTTGCTTGTCTTATAGCCTGCAAGGTAGATTATAACTGTCAATGATATCTGCCCCAAACTGCTCAGTCCCCTCGCTTTCTGGCAAACTGTGAATATAAACTGTTTGAGTTACTCCCCTGCTGTTAGTTTTTTAGACAGAAGTATTACAGCCGTTCTGTGTCTCCTTGCCTCCAGAACTGTTCTACACTGAGCGCGCTCATGTCCGAACACTGAAGGTTCTTGATCAGATCTTCTACCAGCGTGTGTCTCGCGAAGGGATCTTGCCTCCCTCTGACTTGAAGAATATATTTTCGAATCTGGAGGAAATCCTTCAGCTCCATGGTGAGTGAGGTCACCTGGGTCAGTTTTCCTGTCTGCTAATTTAAAAGGGTATTGACGGGATGAACCAGCATCTGGCACCATTGCACCAAACTGAAACTAACCCCAAAGCAGTGGACACTTCCGTGCCACTCCTTAGGCAGACAACCTAAGACAACAACTGTCTGAAACAGTTTTCACCGCAAAGGATGCCTGTCTTTAGGCCTGTCAGTTCACTGGTTCCCCCACATGTTATCTAGTTTCCTCTGTCTTGTGTATGTGCAGCCTGCACATATTTCCAAACCTGTACTCAAAACTACCCTGTGATTGCTAACAATGAAAACAGTGTACAGTGAGAACACAGTATGCATCTCTGGATATCTCTGTAAAGCAGGCTTTCAAGCTATGTAGAATAGCCGAGCCGAAAAACCTGAAAAATACCTTAGCTGTATTTTTCAGGTATTATTTAAGCAGAAAACAGATCCAGAGAAACTGATCAGCTACCAGTATAGCAGAGCCCAAATAAAAGCCGATTTTTTCCCGGCTTTTATTCAGGGATACGCAGCTATACCGAGGATCAGCTGGGGCGGCAGGAAGCTGAGAGCTCCATGCCGCCTCGGCTAGGGCTGGTTCCTCTTGCAGCTCAGTTTAAACCAGCCTGCAGGAGGAGCCAGCCCCAGGTGAGGTGGCATGGAACTCTCAGCTCCCGCTGCCCCAGCTGATCCTCTCTTGCAGCTTGGTTTAAACCGAGCTGCAAGAGGAGCCAGCCCAAGATTGGCCAGGGTGGTAGGAGCTCAGAGCTCCCCACTGCACACAGATCTTGGGGCCAGCTTCTCCTGCAGCACAATTTAAACCACGCTGGCAGGAGAAGCTAAGCCAGCTCAGAGTTGGGCTGGCTTTTGGGGGGGGGCATTTTTCTTCTTGGGTCTGTTAGACACCCCCCCCCCCCCATTTTTCTTTACAAACCTGGATCCGAATACCATACCTGTATCTGGGATTTTTTGAAAATATTGACATTTTTCAAGTCCAATAGACCCGGACTGAAAAATGCCTCCTGCTCCTCCTGCTCCTCCTCCTTCTTCTTCTTGTCCCCTAATGTAGAACATCTGTCTCCAGACAATCAGAGGCAGCTTCTTACAGAATCAACAGCAAATAAATGAATTGTGTTTGTAGAATAAAGTGGACTGGTTTTGCAAAATGTTGATTTAATATAAATCTGGGATTTTTCAGAATTCAGGACTATATATTTTGTTTCCTTGGGAGTCATATAGGGGCAAGAGGAGTATGTATGTTGCCCCACCCTTGCAGAAGGACAGCTAAAGCTGATGCTGGAAGGCTGAAGCCTGAATGTTAGAGTAGTCTGGGGGTGATTTCAGCCTCCTCCGGCATGTTCTGTGGGATGAATGAAACTTTTCTGTTCCCCTCCTGTTTGGGCAGTTCCGTGCACCCAGTGAGGTTATCAAACCTTGATTCCCTATGCTGTCTTGGGTTGTCATAGTAATGGGGGGAGAAAATCCCTGTGGGGAGGGGAGTCAGTGAGTGAGAGAATGGGACCTTTGCTTTAGAAGTCATAACTTTCCTTGCAAGATGTACCTCCTCTCCCTCTTTACCAGGGAAAGGTGTCCTTGAGAGCTTTTTGGTACCAGCTTGAGCAGTAGATAACCAAGCCATATATTTTCCACTTGATTGAGATGGCAGTGCTAGGCGTGGCACGTTTGAATGACGTATGCTTGGGGAAGGAAGGGGCTTTTGTTTGATTTTCCTATAATCTTGTACCCACCAAAACTCTTTAGCTCTAACACAAGTGATGTTCTGGATCACGCATACATCTTATCACTGCCAAAGAGAGAGTTGTTGAGAGTAACTTGACCGGGGATCTGACAGAGGGTGAGGTATATATTGGACATGGGCCTCTGTGTGCAATTCTGGCCCTGAAGGAGCTCACGTGCCATAGGGGGGTCATCAGAAGAATTGATGCAGTGGCCCCACATCCGGCCTTGCTGCTAACTTCCTCTCCCTCTTTCTTTTCTTTGCTGTTTAGCTGGGTTGAATGAGCAGATGAAAGCAGTGCGAAAAAGGAACGAGACATCCGTTATTGATCAGATTGGAGAGGACTTGTTAACTTGGGTAAACGGAATTTTGTTCACCACTACCCCCATGTTTCCTTCTGAAAACTGAAATTTTTCTAAGGGGGAAAAAGTTTGGGACGGAAACAGCCACAGATCAGCCTTGCCAATTTGTCTTGTCTGAGAACTTATTATCTGAAAATGTTCATTTCTAAAAGAATGACATTGAGCCGGGGGAGTCACAGCTGGAGAAGATGAAGGGAGGTCAGCACGGTGCACACATTTCATTTCTGTCTGAAGTATTTGTGCAACTGAGTGCTTTTTCTTTTTCTTTAAAAAAAAAAATCAATTAACAACAAATGAATGAGTCATTTACCTTAAAGGTGACCTGCAAGAGGGGAAGTTGTTTGTTTATCCAAGTTGTCAGTAAGGTTAAGGGAGAATTTTGATCTGATGGGGGAGACCAGGGGAAAATAACCAATTTAGACATTTTAAGGCTGTGCTCCTGTTGGGTGTGTGTGACTCCCTTTTCTTCCAAGAAAACTAATTTATGTCAAAGATTTGTTATGCCACCTCTTCAAACTTCCTTGAGGCACCTCACAACCAAACACAGTAAAAAGCCCCCAGTAAAAACATAGAACAATCCAAATGAATAAAAACGATACCAATGCCAACAGCCAATAAAAGCAATCCAGGGCACAACAGTAGACACAAAGGAGCAGTATAAAATGATATTGATAAAACAATCCTCGAGTTAGGAGCAGACCATCAAGCATCTAAAAAGATGGAACCTTTTAGTTAAAAGCCCAGGCAAAGGGCGATGTTTTGGCTGGTGCCTAAAGGTGACTAGACTAAATACCAGCTGAGCCCCAAAGGGCAGTGCTCCCTCTAAGCTGTGGAGTCTTGTGAGCAAAAACTGGTCTTTGTGAGCTCCTGACAGTAAAGTTGTGAGCGAGCGATTTGGCTACTGCATAAATTAGTTTGCTCTGGAGCCATCCTTCCTGAGCTAAGGCAAAAATCTGTGAGCCGGAGGCTAAAAAACTGTGAGCTAGCTCACACTAACTCAGCTTAGAGGGAACAATGCCAAGGGGTATAGTTTAAAAATGATGCTCAGTCTCCAATCCTTAAACAAGACTTTGTAAGTAGGAGTGCTGGATAATGGGAAATGTACTCATGATCAATGCTCCCTCTAAGCTGTGGAGCCTTGTGAGCAAAAATTCTACTTTGTGAGCCGCTGGCATTAAAGTTGTGAGCGAGCAATTTGGCTGCTGCATAAATTAGTTTGCTCTGGAGCCATCTTTCCTGAGCTAAGGCAAAAATGTGTGAGCCAGAGGCTAAAAAACTGTGAGCTAGCTCACACTAACTCAGCTTAGAGGGAACAACTGCTCATGACGGCGTTCAGGAAGCTACAGCTGTTCTAAGCGTACCGTGATTCCACTGAAAAATTGGTCTGTGCCCTTTTCTGAGCATACGTTGATCCGATTTTATAAGTTACAGTTAGGAAGTTCACAGGAGTCTCTGGGGTATCGCATGTGGTCTTCATTTTGAGGATCCAGAATTTAACCCACTACCCGAATCCCTGGTCTTAAATTTCTTACCAACATGACTGAACAGAATTAGAAAGTGGTGGTAAGGACTACATGAGGTTCTCACTGGATGTGCTGGCCAACCCCGTTGTGGGTCTGTCATTGCCTCCAAACTGTAGAGCAGCATCCATACATGCTGGTTCTGGTGCTGCCGTTTAATATTCCATGCGCGTGCCACTCTGACATTTGGTTTCCTTGGATTCACGTCTCAGTTCAGTGGAGCAGGGGAGGAGAAATTGAAGCAAGCCACCGCCACCTTCTGCAGCAACCAGCCCTTTGCTCTGGAGGTAATCAAGTCACGGCAGAAGAAAGACTCGCGCTTCCAGACTTTTGTCCAGGTAAGTCCTATCAGCTATTAGAACTGGTTGCCCAGGATGGGTCCTAGAAAAACAGTGAAGCTGCAGATGAGGACAAAGTGATGGATTATTTCATTGTCTTTGTCTGTTACTTCTGAGCAGAGAGTCTTAATCCTGAGCATTATGGGAAATGCACCATATTGTAGTCCAGGCCAACTGAGCGCTGATCTGTACTCCTGTAGTGCACTAACAGGTAACCTTTCTTCCAGGATACCCTCAACCAGCAACTAATTAAACATAGCCAGCACTTTATGAATTGTTCATAATTGAACTGTTTTTAGATGATTGTATGTGGATTTTGTAAGGAGCTGCGGTGGCTCAAGTGGTTAAGACGCTGAACTGCAGGCTGTGGAAGGTCGGTAGTTCAGCAGTTCGAGGCCCAGGTTGCCGCATGACGGAGTGAGCTCCCGTCTCTAGTTCCGGCTCCTGCCAACCTAGCAGTTCGAAAGCAAGACATTGCAAGTAGATAAAGAGGTACCACTTCGGTTGGAAGGGAACAGCGTTCCGTGCGCCTTGATGTTTAGTCATGCCGGCCACATGACCAAGGAAACGTCTTCGGACGGCGCTGGCTCTTCGGCTTTGAAACGGAGATGAGCACCGCAGCCCTAGAGTCTGACTCGACTGGCTTTCGAGCAAGGGAACCTTTACCTTTATGTGGATTTTAATTGTTATTTATGTATTAATCAGTGTAAGCATTCCTGACAGGCCTGTAGCTACCACAGGGCCTGGCCCCCTAGCGGTTTTTATGGACTTCCCTCCCCAAGCCTCGGCTCCCCCACCCCCCAGGCCCCTTCACCCCGATTGCATGTTGGCCTGTCAGCGGGGAAGATAAGGGCAGCACAAGCAGTAGCGGTGGCAGCACAGAAAGCAGAGAGCAGCCCGGACAGGCAGCGAGCATCTCAGGCTCCCACCAGATGCTCACCGTGCCACCCCCTCAGCAGCAGGAAAGCCAGGCCAGGCAAGGAGGCAGGCAGGCGCTTCCTCTGGCCCCAGCCAGGTGCGGGGTACAAATTAAATAAATAAATACTTACATAGGCTCCCACGCTCACTGTGGTTCATAGTCAGCCATGTGAGCTGTCAGAGACCCTCATTGTGGGCTAGAGTACCTCACTCAGACAGTACTTGGTCTTCCGAGTTTCTAAAACAAAACTTGGAGAGGAGAGCTCTTATAGCTGTTTTCTGTGACTAGTGAACTAGAAAAGGCATACTACTCCAGGCAAAGAGGAAGGGAGCCGGACTTGGTCCATCCTTCCTTCACAGAGGAAAAGCCCTTGCAGCCGTTGTCTAGGGTCCCTCGCTGTCTGAGAACCGGCAGCATTTTGAAAGCATCATCGTGTCCTTTCTCCAGTATGCAAGGGACTAAGATGTCTCCTCTTGAGTCAGTGACTGAGATTGATTGCCGATGATAGTGCATCCCCGCGAAGTAATGAGGGAA